GAAACGTTGCGACACGTTTAATACGTACGTTGTTTGTGTAGAAAGACAAAGTTTGATGACAACTCGGTAAACACTTTTATATTGAACTGTGCTGTCGTTTCATACAAAACCAATGAAAACATAATATGGTAGCTCCTACTGTACTAATTTATAACTATAATCTATCATGCTTTTTCTCTGGTTGATAAAACCATTCATTTACTGAATACAAAAATCTACCATAATTCCATTTTTATACAGTGAATATATTTTCCTCATATTGACCTTTTTTATTGATTTTTATATTTTGATATCTAATTCAGGTTATCTTTAGTTGTTGCTGTTCACCTGTATTGGTCCGGATGTTTGAAACTAATAATAAAGTTGGAATAAATGGAAAAAGATCATAAGTTCACCTTATACCTCATCCAGGCATGCGTGTGCATTGCATTTTTATTTTGTTTATTATGATTGATCCTTTTTCATGATCAATTAAATATGAAATGTTATATCTAAATCGTAAATCATTTTTTTCAGAATTAACATTACATACCGATATACGAATGCATCGAGCAAAGTCACTAATAGGTATAAACATCTGTTTTATGTTAAGACGGACACATCTCACAAGTAATTAATATAATTTGGCAGTACTGGTGTTTTAACAGCTTATATTGCAGAAACAAAATCATTGCGTCTTGTACGTGTATTGGTGAACTTTGACCCGTTATTCGCTTTATCACAGCATTGTCAGCTTAACTAGTTGGAAATTTATTTTTTCGATGATTTATTTCAAAACAAAATATTTAAATTGTACTCATACATTTCCCATTATGTTAATCGTCGAGCGATCTTGCTGACTGCAGTGTTTCTTATATTTATATAAATATATTATAAAGTCAATATTTTAAAAAACAATAAGATGAAATTTTCTATTAACCGGTCGCTAGGATACCCATGCTTTGGACAACTAGGCCTACAAATGGAGAACTTACATTTAACCTATGTATCTTTACAAACGTTTCTGTAAAGTTAGGTATATCAAAAATAAGGTGCAATAGGTATATTTCTATGTATGCTGGAATTAGTCACAAACTGTTTTGACATGCGTCATGATGGTTACGAATCTGACATTAAATTAGCATAAAAGATCGGGAAAATTACAGGGAAGTCTTTTTCTTGGAATGTGTGGGGTTATTTTTAGGCTATTGTTGTAATGAAGTTCTGAGAAAATGATTATATTTCAAACATCATTTACAATCAACACAACAGCTTTATACTACAACTATACAGGTTATATGTATAAATTGCAACTTCATCAGAGAAAACACACACAAAAAAGGTGGGGCATCGCAAATCCCTGAAAAACGGAGCAAAATGAGTTGTTCAAGAAAATTTACCATTTCCTGCGTCACATTTGTTACCAGCCAGAGGGAATCGTTTTTCACAAGTATTCTATACGTTAACAATATATACTTAACAATAATTATAGGACATGTTTGAAGAAATTATTACAAAGCTGACCAAACACGAAGCGCTCCATTGCTAGGTTAATATAAATCAATGTAGACTAGAATTATTTTTCGGTACCAACATTCCATTTGCACATCCTATCTAATTTTGATTCATAATGATATTCAACGTCAAAATAAAAAATTAAAATGTTTGTTCCTCGTCCTATAGATTTGAAACTTTTGAAAAACAATCAAGATTTAGTCGCCAACAACCTTTCTAATACCACCCCAAAATATGCGGAATTCGAAAAACCTTTTTTAAAACAATTGGTTGCGGGAGGATAAATATTCACAAAATTATGGTTAACTTACCTGGTTTCCCCCGTGATCGAGTTGACATATCGACTCTTGTAGAGTCCAACCATTGACCGGGTGAGAGAGCCGTCGTACTGCGTCTCTAGGCGGACTACAGCACCACTCAGCAACGGGGATACAGTCTCGATAACCCAGAATTGGTTTTCCGCGTACGAAAACGTCCGTTTTATTGGGATTGTAGCTCCACTTGAATTATTCTTGAGCATTGTCTTCGTGATGTTCATGTAGTAATAATGAATCAAAATATACGACGTATCCTTGGTGATGCGGATTTCTACAGATTCGTTCCCATAAAACCATCCGTTTCCGTTATATATATCCGGGTAAAGTGTGATATCATAATGCACGGGTATAATATAACGCGGGAGGCGCAGATTTTTCCACGGTTCACTTTCGAAGTTCGGTACTTCCGTTGTTGTTGTGGTGGTAGTGACTTCAGATCCGGTGTTTGCACCACTCTCTCCCTCTACGTTAGATAAACTGTCACATGACCTCGGTGGTGCTAGGTACCACACAAGGACCCCTACAACGATCGGAACCACTACTAACAGAACCAATAGTAGGTAAAGAATACGTTTGTTTAAGCTAACCTTACCAGATTCCTGAAATTCACCATCGTCCATCGCGCGAAACTTTTGCATCGCCATGTTTTGAATGTCCAATTATGAAATGTCAAAAAAAGTGTAAGAAATACAACTCGAGGCACGCTTAAAATCAGCAAATATCGCCAGAAGTGACGTTTTTGAGGTTGTCGTGATGGCTAAATGAATGCTCCAGAAAAACCAGCTCTCTCTTGCAAAACTCAGAAATCTGGTAATATGAAGTAGGTCACTACATAAGCACAGCGAGAGGTGAGTACAATGTATATTGTTTATAACGCTAATCGCAATGGTCCGTCCTGCTGGTAATATATAGAATTGTTGTATATAATAATACTCCAGTGTGTTAGTGAGGTAGTTCTTGTCCATTCAATGGCTAACGCCTGAAGCCTACTCCATGGAGACGACTTGATCACACATGGATAACCCTTCCACTCAACCCTTCAATAATAACGTATAACAACCACACTGAGAGTGCTTGTTACGGAGACGAGAAGGGCCTCTCCGTTGATAACTTACTCCTCAACCCACACCTTGACTGATAAGCAACAGTGATGTGATGTTTGATTTACGGGATTGCAGTAACTATTGTTTACATATGGTCCCCTTCTCGAGTTAGCCAGTGTCTGCACGGTACGGCGAGCGTATCAATGCTGTACACATATAAATGAATAAGCACTGCCTTATAGTACCACTCACTACGTTTCTTCGTTTTCATGAGTTTTCAGTCAAGATATAAATTCTTCATTATTTTATGTTCAGCATTTCTGCAAAAAGCGAGTAATTTGAATTCCAATACATGGTATTTTGAACACAATAGCAACAGTTTAATTACATTTTTAGCGGCGTTGCTATTATCTTACTAATGTATGCTAACAATTCTTGCATCCAAAGTCACGTTAAAACGTATCAGGTACGTACACCTTATGGGATACTGAACTATCGCCATTTACAACTGTTCTTACAAATGGAAATATACACACTATAATCTTACTAAAAGAGAAATCTGTTGTTCCCTTGATTGAGACAGGTGTAATTTGTCTCTGACAGGTTTGTTATTCGTCTGTTTTCGTCACTGTTTTGAAAAGAAATCACAGGTAAAACGAAACTGCAAACAAATAACCGGAAGGCTAGAATCAGTCGATATATATCTCGAAGAACAATTTTCATTAAAACCTCGTCATATCACTCCAGTTAGGAAATATCCAGAAATATGTGGTATATTGTAAAGGAGTGTGGTGATATATCGAGATTAACCTATAAAGAAATTAAAAAAAATGAACATGGGCCCTTCATACGTTTGTATATGACAGCTTATCGGCAAATAAAACGAAAGCGTATGCCCGTGATATCGAGGCTTTAAAGCACCACACATTATACCAATACATTGTTTTGTATTTATATTGCATCTTTCAAATCACAATAGTTGTTTTAAATCTGTAATCCAAATTTCAGTATCTAAATACGGTCATTCATATAAAATCGTGTCTTTCAATAACGTTTCATTTTATAACACAGTTTAACCTTTCATAGGTGGTTGCCTCGTGCAAAGATTCCACGGTAACAAAAGATGGAAATGCGTTTAATGGCTAGGTTCGAAGCCAAATGCTCGATTCAACCGGCCCTTCTCCCGTTTAAATAACTCGGACTTTACCTAGGCTACCACTAGCCATGTGTTCTGTTATGATGATCAAACATATCGAAATGTGAAATCCAAAGAAGTTTATGAAGCAGGGATAATAATATTATTTTGAAACAAGGGTTTTCATCGGTTAGCCGCTTAACCGGTTACTAGGTCGGAAGACAACGAACCGGTTACCAAAATCAATAACCGAATAGTTTGACATTTATTTATTCCTTTGAGGAGCCCCATGCTTCCCCGTCATAGACCTACACATTATCTATAGATGCGACCTAAATCGAATAGTTTTGTGATACAAACAGTGTTCAGGGATAACATGTTAGTGTTGTTTTTGTACTCTATTGTAAAAACTGGCAAAGAGATGTCGCCAACACCATAAAAAATCTGAACAGATTCTTAACAGAAAGCTAGAATACAAAGATGTGAAATATGAACTTTAAGAGATAGAACTTGCTTTTTACATGCGAGATGTAAATATAATCTGAAGTGTAAACACTTGATTCAACAAGCATGTCTTAAAACTTTTGTCAAGCAAATTCTTTTCTAAACAACAATATTACCGCATATATGCTTTCGAGAACTAATTACTGTAGTTGAATCCCGTCTTACTGCATTCCTACATTTGTTGTCCATGACATATACACTATTGTACTAACTTAGGTTACTATTTCCTGCGTTTGTCAAGCAATACGCGATTAAACTATCATGCTAAATTATTTATGTTTGTGATGTAAACACGTTTTAGACAAATCATTTTCTACACATATATTGTGATTGTTGCTGTTTATTATTGGCTTACCAAACTGACAGATTAACCGGTTTGACAACCCAATGATAAACCAATCGCTTCCAGCTAGAATGCATTTACCACTTTTTTACTGAAAACAGATTTTAGCCTCTTAAACGACAAAGATGAAAAAAATATCAGACGATTTCATGAAAATATTTTATGAAACAATCTTTTTTAGACACGGACATTTACGAACAACACGGAGCAATAATTGGTTTAGGAATAAATAATATATATTATAGTGCGATATTTTTGACTATACACTATAAAGTGTACCATAGGAAGGATCTATTTCTGTACATGTGCAGACAATATGGATTTAACACCGACCTACATACGTTCAAAACCTGGATCGTCATAATATTATGTACGTAACATTTGTGATCGTTTGAACCGACTCCGCGATCAGGAAGATGTCAGCGACTTTTATGAGAATTTCATACACTGTACGAGCTTTCCGAAGATTGACGACCACACAGGTTTGATTTTCCTCAAGAATTGCCAAACGTCGCTGCCGTATAGCGCTTACTCTCAGAAAAAAAACTATCTCGCTGCATTTTATAGTAATGTTTGGTCGTCTGCGCCTTTATACTGTCGGGTTACCGTTACTATGTAGACGTATATTTTCTTTTCCATTCATTTACTTTTAAAATGAAAACAGTTCCACTTTACCCCAATGTAAGTATTTACACATTGAAATAATTCCAAAACCCTCCGTTCGAC